ATTTTTGAGAGCGCCTAGCAAAAATAGAAGTATTTATGTAGGGCCTAAGTTTACTGCAGATTTTAATTTTTGAGCTAGCTAATGCGAACAAGTCCATAGTCTGATAGAGAATTAAAAATCAAAGGAAATGAAAACTTTTCGAAAATCTCGGTTCTCGGATCTCGGGTCTCGGTTCTCGGTTCTCGGATCTCGGGTCTCGGAATTTCACGGATGCTAATTACGAAGAAAAATATGAGAGAAAAAAAATTACAGTTTCAAAAATTGAGGTTGCAAAATGAAAGAGAAAAAAATCATGGGAATAAATTTGATACTTCAAATAAATCACGTTTACGAAAATAACTAGAATCTCGGTTCTCGGATCTCGGTTCTCGGATTGATTAGTTTTATGTATAACAAATCTAGATTTGGGAATATTTATATCGACGTTTGAGACTGTTCGCAGGAATTTTTATTAAATATTATAATTTTGTTTGTACATATTTTTTTTCTGAAAAGATTGCGTGGGCATAAAAAAATTAGGCGGAAATGCGGTCTGATGACATCTTAAGTGAGATAGCGCATATATCTTGCAAACTTGTGCACTTTTGTTTTGCAAGCAAGTTGCTAAGTATCGCCAGTTTTCCAATCGCACCGTTAGGGAACTCATTCACGAATGGCTGATTCAAACTAAAGTAGAAAACTACACTTGCTTACTTTTTTTTCTGCCAGGATCAAAGAAATTTGAGAGTAATCTTTACAAAAGAAAAAACACACTTGCTGTGGAGAAAAGTTTTTCAGTTTTGCGAATTCTAAAAATAATAATCTCAATAAATACGACTCAGAAATCTCCTCAGATGTTGTGCTCAGCTTCTTCTTGTGTTTCTCTAACAAAGTCCTGACCTTTACCTGTTGTTGCATGTATTTCCTTGATCAGGGCTTCCCAATTAGTTGTATGCATATCAACAAAATGTCAAAATAGTCTCTTAGATGTATGTAAACTCCTTCCAATGCAACTTGTGGTGCTATGAACAATCCATGCTTTTCTACGAGCAAAAATGGCCATAAAGCGACATCCTTTTACGTTTCATGTTGTTTTCCCATCAAAAATCATGAAATATATTACCAAACTGCTTTACTTAACACCGTTGTGCTTGAAAGCAATGCTTTTGACTCTACTTCTCATGCAGTGGAACGTCAACAAATCAGAGCTAAATGACACGAAAAAAATTTTTTTTCTAATTTATTTCAATACCGAGATCATGCCTGTTAATTTGTATTTATTGCATTGGGTGTCCAAAATGTAATAACTGATTTTGAATTAGGAGTTTAATCATAAATCGGAAATGATTTATTAGGCAGCAAAATGGATCGACTGTTTTTGGGAGAAAAAAAAATTGATCATTGCATACAATTTTTTTAGGGTATCTGAACTGATTTGCACATTCCGTAGATAGCCAAACGACATTAGCGAAAGTAGTTTGATAGCCTATATGTTTTCAGGTGAGTGGGGATGAAGTTCTTTGTGTATTCAATCTGGTTTTTTTTTCAGTGATTTTCCTATCAGAATAGCTCAGCCTGCAAAATCCTCAATCTACTTTTCAGTGATCGGATAAGACTAAATGGAATCACAGAAAAAAAAAACGTGAGAAAAACACTTCTAAGAGCACATTTATCTGAAACATTTTCTCATGTCAAGAAATCTGAAATGAGTACTTTAAGACTTTGCCTTGAAAATTGATGTTACTGTTCACGCGGAGCAATCAGATGATTTATTAAGGAGTATTCTGTTTGAGAAATTCTGTTACAGCCATTCTTTTACTCAAACTTTTGAGGCATCTTGGAAAGTCGCATATTTAATTTTGTGTGAGCGCATGATCCTTAAGTTCAAAAGACGAGTAACCGCTTAATCTTTTTTTTTTTGTACAGTGAACACTGAACTAGCTGTCTCTTATGATTGAGGTCGACGCTATAGAAAGTGATGCACCGAAAAAGCATGTAGTTCTCATTTTGATAATCAGGTTTAGCAGTGCAGTTACGAAAACTGGTTCTCACTGAAGAAAATCACAATATCAAAATTAAAGATCTACTGCTTTGAATCTTTTGATGGGCGAAAATTGATTTTCCAACAAGTGTTCGAACTGACTTGTAGAAAACGCTCCATCCAATTGTATCCATGCGGATAATAAGGGTCTCAGGACGGAAAAGGGTCATAAAACATGCTCTAATAGCGATGTTTCAAATGTATGAGCATTTTAATATCCTTTGTTTCCATTAAACTCGTATCTTTGATAGAGGATAATTCAACTCTAACGCAGCAAAATCCATGTCTAAAAGCGCATTTTGAGCAAATAAGCGACTTGCTTTCGAATCGAAAATGTTTGAAGTCGTGCTTCTAACGAATTTAAGCAACATTTACATACGTCAATCCCATTTACTTAACATCATGTTCTGTCACAACAGATAAAAGTTTTTCTAGGATTAATCTACGAAGTTCTCTATAGATCTGTACTAAACCTATCGTTGACAAAAGTTGGGAAAATTAGCAAAATTTTGACTGAAAAAATGAAATTATTTTGAAATTATGCTTGAGATTTTTTTGATTTAAATTATTTTTTTTTCGATGAAAATTGTCTCCAGGTTTTGAAAAGATTAATAGGATCGGTGCTTAGAGTTTTGATCTAGAAGGAAATTTCACTAGCAGTTACCAAAATACGAGTTGTCGGAGGAAAAAAAACTGTCTTGCAGTACAATGGGAAAATATTTTGCTTGTTTCTAGAAGGAAATTTTTTTTTTTGATTCAGCCAAAATCTGGATTTGCTAATTACCCTTATCGCGATGTAAGGACCCAATCCAATTGAGCTCGCCGATGAATGAGATGCTGATCACGGCTGTCGCTGTTGATGTACAATTTCTCGGCATCGGAAGATAGCTGGACGCGCCGTAAATCAAGTGTGTGTAAGGGTCATCCGAATATTCAACAGGCGCATAGCGATATTTGTCACGACCCTAGAGCAGTTGCTAGATTCTACAGTTGTCACCAAATTGATTGCTGTTTTGAATGCGCGCAGACAGTTGCTAGAACGGATTGGCATAAAGGATTTGGAGCTCATGTGTAATAGCCAGGTGTGTGGCACGTCGGCAGATGCTATCTTTCCTAACGAGTTGTATTGCAGATTTTGTACTGTAGCTACGATTGCGAGCAAGTCCAAGTCCAAAAATAAAAGAAAAATGCATTTGCGATCAAAAAAATCTATGCAGCAACTCGCAATACCCTAGAAATTACAGTACCGTCATGCGAAAACATTGTAAAGGAAAATATAAACCAGCGCAAAATTTCGGATGTGTTACATACAGGTGAATATACTAGAAATTCTGAAGAACAAGTGATTTTTCTTGCTATTTTGAATTTATTTTCACACGAAGATTCTGAAGAAAAAAAAATTTGGCTCGGTTACGGCTACGTAAACTTATTGAAAAATCTATCCCGTCTTTTCATGCTTAGTATATTGCATACTGTCAACGATTTTTTTTCACGCATAGCTGCTTGATACGCGGTTGCGGCTACGCAACTGCTGAATCATTTTCTCATGGTAAGATAGAGCTAAATAATGCATTATTACTCAAAAAGCTGGGGACAAATGGGACTGCTCGTAAAACTATAGCGTATGCATCTCTGAGATAATTCAATCAAAGATCATCAGGTACATTTGGTGATATAGTCACTTTGAGATAATTCAATCAAAGACCAACACTACATTTGGTGAATAAAATTTTTTTAATTCAAAAAAAATTTTTTTTGAAATATTAGTTTTCCTTCAATGAAAAGGATATTTTTTTTACACACAGCACACTATTAGTCATCATTGTTATCAAATAAATATAGAAACACTCACTCATTCGTTCGCTGTGACTTGGATGGAAGTTGTTGTGGATATGGATGTGGAGGGGTGGATGAATTCTATTTTTGTAGAAAAAAAATTTTGACTACTGCTCGAAAGAAAAAAAATCTTCCCGGGACTTCCATGTCAGGTATAAGGGTTAGCTATTCCCTTACCTGATGTGTAGCGGGTTTACATAAGTCTTACTATAATATTTATTATAAATAGTTATGTACAAAAGGGGGAAGGGGAAGGGGAAGGCCACCGGCTAGTGCTGGCGGCCGGAGGTCACTGCCAGAGGTTGGCTGTCTTCGGCCAACCTCCTTCTCGAGCAGCTGTTGTAGCTAGCTGCGTCCCGACATATATAACATTTTTGCCCAAAAGTTCCAAAAAATTCATTTAATGGTGTTTAGAGCAGCTTTCAATCTGTATAGTATTTTTTCATTGCATATGATTTATGCAGTATTTCATCGTATACATCGGAGATTTTATTTCAAACAAAATCACACCTCAAAAATAAAAATGCGAAAATTATCACAACATCTGGTAGGAAAATTATTACAACATCTTACCAGCACAAATTCATCTGAGTTAGGCATAAGTAGATCCGAACAAAAAGTACTAAAAATTTCTGGGCCATTCAGCATTTTTGAGGACAAAGCTTGGAAAATGCAGTTTGTGTGCTTGCCTGCAATGGGTTTTAGTATCGGCAGACACTGATGATCTCTTAGCCAAAATAAAAATGGTAAAATTTTCTTTCTCTTGAATGAGTTATTTCAATGGATTCATCAAACGTGGTAAAGAAGATAACGGCTAACATCATGTTGCAAGAATGTACCAAACCAATGGAAATGCTAGTAGCTAGTGGAAACTTGATATTTCATCAGCAGTTTTTGGGAAAGTCCCTTCGCTTTCGCAAAACCATCGTTACCTACCCCTTTATTGGTCGGTCGCTGAGTAATCGCCGGGGGTTACGCGGATGTCTGGCCGAGGATTTTGAAAGACGCCCGATTTCGCAATGACATCATCGATGATGTCACTTCAGCGTCGCGCATAGAGTGCACTCTGCGCGGAGACGCAGGTGCAGCAACAGTGGCGAGAGAGTGTGCAAAGGCGTGGAGAGCGCGAGGACAATGGGTGGCGGTGCGCCTTTCGTGTGTGGTGTCGTCGAGCCAGTCCACCGACACCCCCACCCACTCTTTTACAATCTCTCCCATCTACAAATCGATCGATAAGAAAGTCACCATGGCTTGGTAAGTATAGTTACTGATTTTATTGATTGGTTGGATGATTGGTTGTAATCGGGGTAACCCGTTAGCAAGCAGAGACAACAGCGATTGTACGGCTGTAGTCGCAGCTGTTGCGAAATCGTCAGATTATGTCAGGAAGTGTAGAAATTTTCCAAAAAGTTTCTAATCCGGTCATGTGGACGTCTAGAGTGAGGGAAAGATAAGATGTTAAGTATACTATTATAGGATGTAGATAGATGTTTCCTATTACGAAAGTGTTCCGAACAAATATTCTGATTTTGAAAGTATGTGAGTTACATCCTAAGTTGTCGTGACGAGTTTTGCAACCCCAAGTTCGTACAATTTATTTCGCTGAATTAATCGTTGTTACACTTCTTCAGAAAACACCCTTTCTTGTTTTGATCTTGGGTAATTTGTTGATGGAGAGACATTTCCATGTTGTCGTGCTTTTCTGTGACCTCGTAAATTTATTCGGTTCTTTCTCCTGAAAGCTACGCCCTTTTCATATCTAAAATGTATGTCGAAATTCACTTGAAAGGATTCATCTATACTTCCTGCTGTCGATCTGAGCTTTTTAGAGTAAATAATGCGACCAAATTGACAACCTGTCAATTAACATTTCATCTTATGGGAAAGAGGTTGCATTTGAGCTTTTTGATTACTAGAATCTTTTATTAATCTCGTTATCACTTTGTTCTTACCCAACTTTTTTCTTTCATCCTGTCATGCCAGTCAGAGCACCCCGAACTTGTCAGTAGTGCATTTTTTTCAAGCTTATACTGAAATATGTGTAGCTCAGATTATTAGATATTATCAGATCACCAAGCTTTACAAATTATCTTTCGCAATTGTTTCGGTCTTATATTTGCTTTTGACATGCAGCTGTTCATTCATGTCTATAAATATCGTGATAGCGTCGCCGACAGATCCATTATTGTTTTTATCTTGGGAAATTGTTTTTACATCCGTTGTTATTGCACCATTAGATCACTCTACCAATAAGTGAAAAAATTTGGAGTTTTTTATTTGGTTGGTGTTTGATTTGTACTTGGTTGGACTATCTGGAGCAGTAATTACAGGTCGCTTGCAAGCTACAAACTTGTTTTGTAGTAAGTCTTTCCTCGATAATTGTGTTCTGCGTTTGCTTTTGTAATTTTGATTCCGTCTCGTATAGGAGTGACGCATTTTTTGATGCAAAGCGTCAGAATCATATCTAGAATTGCGATCGATACTCGGTTTTTGATCTGGTATTTTTAACCAGCTAGGGTTTTTCAGTGATCTCTCTGAGTGTCTTATCTTATGTCAGTGGAAGTGAATTGGACATGCTTTGTGATCCTCAGACTTTGATCAGCCCTGTCTGTTTCTGTGTGGTGTAGGCAATCAATATGATTGAGCATCCAGGAATAGCGTATGTATGTACCTAGTTCAAAATTCTATTTTTGTGTCAAAACTCCTCGATTTCGCAATCCCAAAGCAGTGCATGCAAAAAGCATTTGATTATCACGCTGCGCTCGCCACTTACATGTGAATGGCGCGCCTGATCTCTTTTGTAAACTGCAAAGAATTCCCAAATGCAATTTTTCATCCGTGTGAATTTGGCGCTACCCTGTGATGAGGGGTGCAACTCAAAACAGCGAAATATGGAATGTTCCAAGGTTCCATTTTTCGGTGGTCATGTGATTTTAGCAACAAATTGTGATCAGTTGCTGATTACTTGTTTTGGTCGAATAAGGGAAACAGTCACGAGTGATGAACTTCCTTCTACAATTAACTGTCGATAGTACAAACAAATTGGTAAAAGTGGTAAAGCGTTCAAAGAATTCTAGAGCAGATTACATGAATTGGTAATAAGTCTCACTACTCTCGGCCATTTCGTCATAGTCTGGTAGCCGTAAAAGGTTTGCAGTATGACCTCGAGGTTGCGAAATCCTCAAAAGTCCTCAAAAGCGATCTAGTAAATTAGAGATTGTACCGGCCACCATTTGTTAATGATTTTTATAATTATTCAAAGAGACCGACCAAGACGATTTTGTGAATAATATTTTCCGAGGTCTTCGCCGTCACGTTTCTCCTAAATTTCGTCGTTTTAAGCTGAAAATTTCGAGAAGCTTCTCAAACAACTTCCGCCACGCATCTATAATATCTAGGAAAACTCTGTCACTACCTCCCCTCCCCCTTTTTGAAAATTTTTTTTGGGATTTTGCTTAAATTTTGCTCTCTGTTGCCTTTGATTCAGAGCCTTCTGTATGTAATTGCTTCCAAAATGGAAGTTTGGCGCTGGTATCCCGAGCGCTATAAGCAGGGCCCGGCATAGATCGTCTGGAAGCAGGCTGGACTTCGTTTTTCAAGCAAAAAGCAAAGGAGATATCGTTTTTGACGAGTAGAGGCCGAGCACCAAGAATAAGCGCCGGACAGAAGTTTTTCGGACAGGTTATCACACGATTGACATGCTCTATCGTGTATGGCGAAAAGTGCGCGCGATTTGAAACAAAGCTAAAACAAACTAATTGCTTGTTTACAGCGTAAACACAAGATTTTGACACCAAATTTGTACCATACAAGTAAAATATTATTTGAGGAAGACCTATGTAAAAAGTTTTGAAAACTTATGTGAAGTAATACCTTTTCCAAATTTAGATCGTCTCCAGACGGCCACCAGACGATCTGAGATCGTCTGGAGCATATATTTCCGTCACTTCACATAAGTTTCCACTTTTTTCAGCATGGACGGATTCTCTGGTCAAAAATCTATCATACAGCCTAAAAACATTTTCATATAGTTGCCTTTCTATTGTTTTTTTGACTTGTTTTCCTCATAAACTGCTTTGTTAGATATCGCGCCCTGATGCCAAATTCTTGCGCATCCGCAGAATTCAACTCCACTTTGTATTTTCACTCTTATTTCAGGGTTTTCTTCACAAACTAGTGACTCTTTCCTATTTTCATCTTCGTCCAACTCGATAGGTTTCTTAAAAGTGTCGAAGGGGACTTCGTAAATTTTTCGAAAGTCAGGGGAACTTCGTTTTCAGAAGCTTTAGAATCCGACTCGTGCCGGGCCCTGGCTATAAGTATCGATCGCTTTCTGAAAGAAAAAAAAACCGGAGGAGTATAGTCTGTGTCAATGTTGTGCTCCCTTTCTGATCAGTCAAGCGCAACGCTAAAGCGTCGTGCAGCGCTAGTGGGGTTGCGGATTGAGAGTTGAAATTCGCCGCTTCGACCGGATCGCTGCGGAGGCGTAATTGCTACGGAAAAGGGAGCACGTGGTTGAGACATACTACGGAAAATTATTTTTGGTCGAAAATCTCGCTTAAGTGCAAATTTATCACAAATAAAACTAAAAAACTGGTTAACTGGTTAACTCATAAGACCAGTGGTGATTCACAGTTATAAATAAGCGACAAGTCTGAGTGCGTTTGCACCAAGTGCCGGTACATGTAACAGCGAGTGTAGATAAATACTTTATCTGATTGATAGGGCTACTCATCGACATGTGTTTGACCTCATCAGTTATTTTGTCTCTCAGGTTTCAAGAATCTAGGCACAGATTTTCTACTAGTCAGTAGTGACCTCCTTGTAATCAATTCTTCTGTAGTGCAATTGCACCACATGCTGCGACACTTGACAGCGAGCTGTTACGTAATAGTTTTTCTAATTGTCAGGATGGGACCGACTTGTGTTTGATTTCACAGTCACCTCATCTTGTGAATCTCGAAAAGCAAGGAATTCATTAGGACTCGCCACACTGTGGCTTCCGGTAATGCAAAAAATGAAGTTTTCTTGACTCCCCTAAATTTTACGAAGTTACCTTTGACTCGAAACCCTAAACGTAAAAAACCCTCAAAAAACTTAATTTTTTTCGGCCACAAAAACATACCCCCTTGCTTTTTGTCCCTAAAACAATAATCAGCTTGCTTATAAGCCATCTGTGCCGAGTCGTGGGCTTCATCCATGATCATCGTTGTGTATTCAATCGCAGAAGTATAACTCAAACGTTTCTTGGCCAGAGATAAATCCTTTCTTTGGCTATCACCTGGTCGCAGAGTATTTGGAAGATCTTATCGGTGGGTTGTCCAAATTTTCCAAAATTGGCTGACGAACGGCAGACATGTCCATTTTTTCCATCGTCATCGGCATCACCCATATGTAGAGTGACGCTTCCAATAGGTTGCGATCCCTCATGCGTTCATCGTCCACGATTCTTTCGTTTCGAAATCATTCACGATTGCGAAACCATCGTGCTTGTTTGAATGCTATGCTAGTGCTGAAATGTGATGGCGCACATTTGAATATTGATGAAAATCGTTTCCATTTTTGGAAATCGAGCTAGACCTGAATAGCTTTATTTTGCTAGACCTTTGGCTTTCTCACACGTTCACGGCTTTTCAAGCTTTTTCTCGGCCATACCGCGACGTGAAGCGCTGCCCAGACGGGTTTGGCAGAGAACATCTGAGTTTTTGGCTTTCTCTCTTCCAGTTCCAAAGTTGCGGAGATGTGCCGGAACTTCACTCTTTGCCATGCTTCTAATTAACAGTCTCTTCGTTTTTTTCCTATGTAGCTTCGTGTATACTTAGAGGCAAGCCAAGGACATTTTGATTTCTGAAGCCTTTTAACAGTGGCGGACAGAGATGTGTGTGGCGAAATTTTGAAATTGCCTAGACTAGATGGTCGTGGAATGGTGCGAATGATGTTTTTTTGCAAATAATTGGATCAGTTTTTACGCCGGTGGTACTTTGTTGGCATGATCGATGAATACCTTTGATAAAAACCATGCCCAAGTAGGAATTTTGTGACCTTGAAATTTTGGAGAATTTTTTTTTTTTGATTTCTCGTTTGGGAAAAAACTCTTGGTGCCTTTTCCTATTCTTCTCATCCGAAAAATATCTTGCCATCACTCACACTTAGATGACGAGTGCTTGTTTTTTTTTTGAGGAGATGGGGGGGGGAAGCCTGGTCGCGATCTGCTAGTCAGATAAATTTGGTTTTCGGGGGGGGGGGGAGGACCT